GTTCTAGGCCCGCCTTTTCGGCCTCAAGTAGCCAATCAGACTCCAAGGCGGGCGGCAGCCGCCGCCGGCTCATTGGTGCTCAGAAGCGGTGTTTTGCGTAGCGCCCGCCCCCGGGCAGGGTGCGTTGTTATGGCTTCCAGCGGCCACTTCCGCCCTGGCGTCACTTCCGCGGTGATGGCGGTGCCGTGGGGCCGGGGCCGGCTGGCCCCGCTCGCTGGGCGGTTGCGGGCCGGCTCGCGGGCTCCCCTCCGGTCTGTTGCTGCCGCCGCCGCGCCGCTCTACGATGTGGTGGTGTCGGGCGGGGGAATGGTCGGGAGCGCCATGGCCGCAGTGCTGGGTAAGGCTGTGCCCTTCTCGGCCGCGCCTTGGGGCCTCCCGCACCGTGTTCTGTCATTTCAGCGAGTCGCGGGTTTTGTGTCCCGCGGTCTCGCCTGTTCCACGAAAAACTTCAGTGTGGGAGGTTTCCCAAAAGCTCAGTGTTTCAATGTCTGGAGTGTCGGGTACTTTCATAAGTGGACCTTATAAAAAGGAGATAACTATGTAGTTACCATTTAGGATCTTAACATTCAAGATCCTGTTGTGGAATTTTCCTGCATCCCCTTGTGACAGCACTCTGAATTTGACTTAAAGCTGTTTTGTTAGCTGATCGTTATGATGAGCCTTGTCCTACTTGTGTGTGTGTGTGTGTGTGTGTATGTGTATGTTAATGTAGCCGTTACCTTGAATTCTGTAGACTGCTTGTCTTCTGTCAAACATGGTTGCCATTAAATCACTGATGGATAATTTCAGCCACAGCTGAAAATGTTTTTTTGATCTGAAGTTTCATTTTCTAACCCTGCATTTTAAACACTGGAATACCAAGTTAAAATGGATTCATGCATGGCCTGTATCACTAGAGATCTGAGAGTACTGGCTGCTGCTTTATTTGCAGTGTTGATTCAGAAGGGTGTAATAGTGACAGAAGCCTAAAGAAGAGCAAAAGAGCAACAACCCAAAGCAGAAAGTGCTTTGCAAGTGTAAGGATTTACTTTGCAAGCTTACTGTTCTGTTTGTATTGTTACACAAGACCACAGTGAAATTGAGACAGCATAAGGATCCCCTCCAGCTATATATACCTAAGGTTAACGAGGGTTTGGGACTTTTCAAGAGATGAGGTTGTGTTACACATAATCTAGAAAATACGTTCAGGATACTGCTGTTATGGGGACTGCTGTAGCAGTAAACTCTGGATGCTATAAGGATGTTATAAGACTGTTTCTGGTCTTAGTAACTTCTGCAGCCATAGGGGCTAGATGCAACAAGTATGGCTAATTCAGCTGTAGTGTGATTTACTCTTGAGTCCTCTCTTAATTTTTTATCAGTTCTCTTTGAAAGTTAGTCTAAACTGCCTGTACTATTCCACTGTCAGAAAATAAGAAAACATTAATGTAGTGGCTAAATATCATAAAAGTTTTGTTTTGATCACTTGTTCTAATAGGTGAATTTATGTTCAAGCTCTGAAAAATATGTTCGTGCATGGAGTAAACATTGCAGATTTCACTCGTTAATACTTCACTAATGAACTGTCATAACAAAATAGGTACAAATTTCTACAAAATACAAACTTTGTACAAAAAGAAAACATTTAATCATTGCTTTAACTGCCAAAGGTTTGTCCATCTCAGTAACAGGATTGTAGTCATAAAGCTTTAAAATATAAAAGTTCACCTGCCTGGTCAAAACCTGTACTGTAAATTAATTTCTTCATTAAGTTTTGTGTCTGTCTTATTACAAAAATGCATATCATTACTATACAGAAACAAGAAATTAGTTTTTTTGGCAGAAGCACTGTAACTAAGCATGTACTTATTTATTTTAGGGCATGATATCCACTTCCATGATAAGAAGATTGCTTTGCTGGAGGCTGGTCCTAGGAAAGAATGTGATCATATGCTAGACAGTTACAGTAACAGGGTCAGTTCCATCTCCCCAGGATCAGCAACCCTCCTAAGCAGTAAGTGTGATTTCTATTGTTTGTGTTTTAACCCTCTATATGGTTTTATTTTGTTTAAACAAAACCCCTTTAAGCATGTGTTGCCTTCATCTTAACAGATTTGCCCTTGTCTCTTAGTATTCTATATGCTGAATTGTGGTGATGAAATCAGGCTTCTCTTGGTAACAGGGATCTGTGTTATGGCATGTTGGCCTGATTTGTTATATAAATATTTGTGACATTAGAGTGCACCCTACAATCTTTTACTAACCTATATAATCTGGAATGTTCTGTTCACAAAAGAAGCACATACTTAGTGTTCTGTAGTCTAGTAACTCACTTCTGATTAATTTTCATTTTAAAGAGATATTTGAGCCTTGGTTCCTTATGGAGACAGAAATGTTCTAAACAATGATGGCAACACGTTTCTGTGTCTGTTTTTTTTGTTCAGAGATAGGACAGTGAGAGTTGACTGTTAAGTAACTGCATTCACAAAAAACTTGTTTCTTTTCTACTGGCTTGTGTTAACAGTAAAATAATGTGATGCTGGAGCTGTGAAAGTATTGAGGCAGACCTGGTCCTGTCTAGGGATGGTACAAGCAGAGTCTGGGCACTGATAGTCAAGGAGAGAGGAAGAGAGTTTGGAGTGAGCTTCAGTTTTGTTTGTCTGTCACGTGTGAACCTGTATCTCTATGCATTTGTGTCCTTTCTCTCTTTCAGGTTTTGGTGCATGGGATCATGTCTGCAGCCTGAGACTCAAACCATTCCGGCGAATGCAGGTGCCTTACTTAGGGCTGCGAATATACTATATGTCCACCTGCTTTGAATTCTCATAAGTGCTTACATTAATGACCCAAAGATTACCTTTTTTCTTTGGTAAAGGGCAGGTCATGCTTAAGATGATTCCTGTTATTTTTTTGGGGGTAGCATTCTACTCAGAAATACCCATCCTCGGAGTGTTGATGTTACAGGGTGAAAGTTTGATTCCTAATGGAAGCCGTAGATATTGAGGCATGGGTGCTAGTCAGGAAATAAAGGTAAAGGTGTGTATTGCTTTTGGTTGGGAGAAAGTTAATTTTGTTCATAGTAGCTTGTGTGGTACTGTGTTTTGGATTTGTGCTGGAAACAGTGTTGATAATACAGGGATGTTTTAGCTATTGCTGAGCAGTGCTTACACGGAGCCAAGGCCCTTTCTGCTTCTCCCACCACCCCACCAGCGAGGAGGCTGGGGGTGCACAAGAAGCTGGGAGGGGACACAGCTGGGACAGCTGACCCCAACTACCCAAAGGGAAATCTCAGACCATGTAATGTTGTGCTCAGCATATAAAGCTGGGGGAAGGAGGAGGAAGGGGAGGATGTTCAGAGTCATGGCTTTTGTCTTCCCAAGTAACCGTTATACATGATGGAGCCCTGCTTTCCTGGAGATGGCTGAATACCTGCCTGCTGATGGGAAGTGGTGAATGAATTCCTTGTTTTGCTTTGCTTGCGTGCTTGGCTTTTGCTTTACCAGTTAAACTGCCTTTATTTCAACCCATGAGTTTTCGCACTTTTACCTTTTCAATTCTCTCCCCCATCCCACTGCGGGGAAGGGAGCAAGCAGTTCTGTGGTGCTGAGCTGCCTGCTGGGGTTAACCCACAACAAGGTGGTAGGGTAGCTTTGTATGTTAATTATGTAACAGGAAAGTAGGGATAAAAAAACTTCCTTTGCAATTAGTTTTTGAGATGAAGCTAGATCACTGTGTGAAAGGAATTATGTACTGTACTTTAGTAGCTGGGAGTGGATGGTAATCCAGGACATTTCCTCTAGTTCTGTGTTTCTAGATTGCCATGTCCTTTTCCTGTTAAGATGGATGCATTCATAGTCCCTGAAAGGAACAGCACTTCTTTATCATGTAGCTTCATGTAATGTATTTTTTCTTTGTAGGTGTGGGATGCTTGTTCAGAAGCCATGATCGTTTTTGAGAAAGATGACTTAGAGGACATGGGTTACATAGTGGAAAATGATGTCATTATGTCTGCTCTCACGAAACGGTTAGATGCAGTAGCAGGTAGTGGTCAACTTCTTTAATATTTTATTTCCTGCAGAGAGCTTTCAGTTACTAGCCTTCTGTTGTATGTGCTAAGTTATGAGAGGGAGAAAGATAATAAATTGATACATAGGCAGCTTCTTGAATTGGGGGGAGGGAGAAATCTGTCTTCCAAAGGCTACACATCAAGAAAGCAGTTGCATATATAGTTCTCCAGAACATAGTCTCTCCAGAAATAGACTTAATGAAAAGATCCAGAGCAGGCTCTGGGGTGACAAAGGGTTAGCCAGATCTCTTCTTTCAGGGTGCCTTGAGAATTGTAGGGTCAGCTTTTAGGGTGCCATTAAAATGTGTGTGGCCTTTGCTGTTGTAGCGATGTTTCCTTTTTTCATGTCTGTATCATGCTGTGACCGTGGTACTTTGTGTTCCCATCAGACCGGGTGGAGGTTTTCTACAGGAGCAGAGCAGTGGGGTATACCTGGCCCCTTCCCTCTCACAGCTGTGACACAAGCCCTTGGGTCCAAATTGAGTTAGCTGATGGACGCAGACTTCAGACCAAACTGCTGGTAACTAAACTTTTTATTTCTGTTGATCAGGCATCATCTCTCACCCAAGTCCTTTCCACTGGATTTGGTTCTGATTCCGTGTGTGCCGCTCCACCCGCGTGGAGGGCTTGAGTGAGGTGAGTGCTTAACTCTGTCAAGGATGCTACAGGACATGGTGCGTAGCCTTTTCTGTACCTGATACAAGAAGACTGTGCTGAATTGGACAAGTGCAGAAGGGACCACCTTTTCTGTTTTTTTGGGAATCTTTTTTTCTGAATAAACAAAAAATGTGTACTTGCAGGCTGAGGTTTGTAGACTGGAATATTAGCTTTCTTAGGAGCTTCTGAAGAGGTTGCTTTGTATCTGTTTTGCAGATTGGTGCAGATGGTCATAACTCAGCAGTCCGGAAGGGAGCTGAAATTAAGAACATTGAGCATCGGTATGACCAGTCAGCTGTGGTGGCAACTCTCCATTTGTCTGAGGTGAAATCCTGCAAACTGACTCTTCCATAAGCAGAACAGCTTAAGCAGGTGATCCAGGTCCCTAGTTCATAACTGTCCACTTGCTTCTTCCCACTGTAGGCCACAGACAATAATGTAGCATGGCAGAGGTTCCTTCCCACAGGGCCGATTGCACTTCTTCCGGTAAGTCTCTGTACTTTGGGGTTTTTAAGTCTGTTCTTTTCTAGTAACTTTATTTTTGTCTGTGCTTTTCTGTGTTGGTTCTGTCTCTTAAGAATAAGTCCACCTGCCTTTTACTTTACAGTTATTGCATTTGTTTTCCCCTTCTGCCCTTTCTCTTTATCCTTGGTATTTCCCACTTATAGCAAGTTGAGCTGGAAGAGTAAAGTTCAGAGGAACTGGTGTGAGGCAGGGCAGTGGGGAAATCTTTATACTGATCATTTATTTTTGCTTCTTTTTCTCTTGACACTTAAACTTGATGTTCTCTTAAACTAGCTGTCTGACACTGCCAGCTCTCTGGTCTGGTCTACATCTCATGAACATGCATCAGAACTTCTCAGTATGGATGAGGAAAGTTTTGTCGATAGCATCAACTCTGCCTTTGTGAGTATCAGCCTTGTGGTGGGTGTGAGGCTGACTTTGTTGTAATCACAAGAAATACAATGGAGCCTTGCAGCTTAAAGGATAGTGGGAGATAATGGGAGAGATGGATTCTCAAGTTCCTTCCCCTGGTGAGGATGGTATTAAAAGGGCACTTAGCAAAGAATGGATGACCCCTTGCGACTGAATTAGGTTACTTTTGAAAGTCACAGAAGTAGTTGAACTAAATTTCCAAAAGGTGGGAAGGGTAGCCTCATCCTAGTTTGAAACTTTTATGTTCTAAAATGATGAATATAGTTTCTTTTACTGTATAGTTTTGTCCAAGTGGTTAAAATTCAGTATTTGGAAATGAACTCATTCAGATGTTTTTCAACTGGATTCTTTTACATGTCTAGTTTGGGTTAACATCTAAAGGTTTGTTTTTTCAGTGGAGCAACGTAAACCACTCTGACTTCATTGATACTGCTGGGGCCATGTTTAGATCTGCTATTTCACTCCTGAAACCCTCAGGGACTGCAGTCCGTCAGCTGCCCCCGAGTGTTGCTAAAGTAGATCCAGGGAGCCGAGCCATGTTCCCTCTTGGAATGGGGCATGCAACAGAGTATGTCCAGCACCGTGTGGCTCTTATCGGGTAAGGTCCCTGAGGTAGCCCTTGTGTGAGTGGGTGGCGTGGCATTAGAAACGATGTGAGCGTAGCAGCTCCCAGACAACAAATTAAATTGTTATTTATAGTTTCAGTTTGACTTTATCCAGGCCAGTTTGTACCACGTGCTCTTGTGCCAGCAAAGTCCTTTTTTATGAGTAGCATTGTCCATCGTGTGTGCTTTCTATGTAAACTAATTATTTCCCTTTTCTGGTTTGTGTAGTCCAGTGAAATGATTCAGTGTCTCATGCTAGACCTGTACTTCCTCAAACATTGTAGCAGCCATTCTGTGTACCAGTTTGAATTTTAAACTCACCTTTCTTGAACACAAATGGTAAAACTTAAAATTATTCCACATGAGATGTCATAGGTTTTTGTATGGTGACCTATAGAAACAAGAAGGTATCTCATCTTTTCAATTCTGAAGTTGTATGTACTTTTTTCTCCACCACAGTTGCAATACACTGGTAGCTTAGAGTAATCTTTGGATGCCATACTACACTTCAGATACTTTTCATCTTTCCAACTTGTGAGCCACCCTGTGCTTCATGGCTTGTTAAAGTGCATGATCTTATATTTCATACCCAAACTTCATTTCATTTCCTCTAACTTTAAGACTTCCTTATCAGTATATCTGGCTTTGTCAATTACAGATAAGTCTGCTCATAAAAGAACCTAATTTTGTTTTTATTCAATGATATCCCACTTTGTATTCATGATGTCTTCTTTCATCTCTGTGAAATGTGGCAGTGATATACCTCCTGATGTGCTGAGGTCACTTATAAAACATTAAGGCCTGTTCCACACATGATCTGAGAGAGGACTTTTTTAGAACTTTTCCTTTCAGAACTGCCTTTTGTTTTCTCCCCTTTGTCTTGCTTCTTAGAACTGGAGAGGCAGTCAGGTAGCTCAGCACAGCATGCAGGGAGGTACTGGATAAAGCATATGTGGTGCTGTAAGGTGGTGTTTGTCGCAGAGAGGTGAGGAGTGCTATACTGATCCCTTCTGGAGCTTGTCAGCCTTTATGACATTCTTCGAGAAGGAATATAAAGTTCTGTCTTTTCTTGCTCCAGGGATGCAGCACACAGAGTCCACCCACTTGCAGGACAAGGTGTAAACCTGGGCTTTGGTGATATTGCATGTTTAGCCCATCACCTCAGTGCAGCAGCCTTCAATGGGAGTGACCTGGGTAAGGATCCAAGACAACCAAGTGACTGGATGATGATAAGTCTTAAAGGCCTTCACTGCTAACATCAGGACATGTGTTACCACTCTTGCAGGTTAAGTGTGCTGCTGTCTTGTGTTTGAAAGGCACAAGCAGCTTTGAAGCAAAACTGTTCTGATGTCCATTGGCTGTGGAGTGGTTAAAGATTCTTGGATGCAGTTTCCGTCCCACAAATCTCAAAGCTGCTTTAAGAAAAAGTTTTGCAGAATGGTAGTTAAAGAGGTGGTAACACAAAGAGCACTAGCTGATGGAAGGAGGTCTTTATTAATATGAACCATTTCTCTGTTCTGTGTTTTCAGTTGTCAGTGGAGACTGCTATATGGATAAGATGCACAATTGTTTGTGGCACTCAGTTTTAATAGGAGCATTCAATTATCTCTTCCAGGCTCCTTAAAACATCTCTTAAAGTTTGAGACAGAACGTCAGAGGCACAATGTCTCCTTGATAGCTGCTATTGACCTGCTAAAGAGGCTTTACTCCACGAGGCTGGCTCCCTTGGTATTGCTGAGGACATGGGGATTGCAAGCAACAAATGCCCTGCCTCCTGTCAAAGTAAGAATCTCACTTTAGTGAGGGCTGTAGTAAGAGTCCAGAACTATTTGTGAAACATACAGAAGCTGTGAATACTTTCTTCTTTTGAATGAAACATTTTTGATTGGAAAATGCTACTTGCTCAGACTGAAGTTTTGAGTCCTGAATGAGCCTGAGGAGTTCTTAAATAACTGATGACTTAGTAGTAACTGTTTTCTCTTGCAGCACAAGGGAAGATAAGGGATTGAAGTGTCTCTATCAGTTGTTAGAGGTTAGAAGTCATTAGAAGTTTTTTGCTTTATTTTGCTATGGAATGAAAATATAGAACCTTGAACTGCATTCCATAAATGCACTATGAAAAACCAGGCCTATGAAGACACATCTTCACATGTGACTTGCCAGATGTGGGGCACAGCTCAAACAAGTTACCTGTTTCTGTGCTATTTGCCTTGTGAAATTATTCCCTCCTGGCAGAAGTGCAAGTCTTCATCATGGAAGTTATCTGAGGAAGGCAGTTGTGAGGAGGTTCAGCCTTAAACACAGACCCTCTATTTGCAGCCTGTTTGCCTAAATTCTGCACCATTTTGACCTAGTTGCTGGATTTTCATGAGGATTCTTAAGCCACCTCTCTCAAAGCTCCCAAGCACTGTCAAATTATATTCCTCGTTTCTGGATTTGAATGTTTTATTCCACAAATCAAGTCACCTTCCTATTAAACACAGTTGGCGTTTCCTTTGTGTTATGGACACAGTGAAGAGTTGAAGAGCAGTAAATTCCGAAGGCATAGTAGCTGCCACTTTTAAGTATCTTTATTAGTTGCACTAAAAGGAGGACTGTGCTGCTCCTTCAGTGCTCAGAATTTTTTTTCCTGTTTCTCTGTTTAAAGCAGAATACCAAATGAAGACCTCTTTTTCTGAGCACAGAACCTGTTGGTAACAACACCTGTTTTGTGCTACTTGGGAAGCAATGTTGAAACTTCAAATTTTTTAGCGTACAGGGATAGGTGCTCTGCACTTGGATAGAAAGGCTGACATAGAACCGTTGTCCATATGTATGAAAGGGAAGGAGACTACAGTTGTGTTCTGGAATGTATGCTTGTTATCACTTTATAAATTACTTACCTTTTTCTTATCTTTTAGGAGCAAATAATGGCTTTTGCCAGCAAGTGATCTGTCTGTTTGGAATAGCAGCTTGCCAGTGAATGCATTGCCCTTGAGAACTGTGACTGACTTGAATCTTCGAATTGTGTTATTTTTAATTTAACAATAAAACCGAGGGATTAACTGTGTATTATATCACCCAACAGTTTATGCAAATGTTCCGTCTCATCTGCTCTCCTCAAAAGGATTTGGGGTCTCTTCTTACAGTACCATGATGTCTTCAGCTACAGAACTATCTGTACAACGTGCTTTTAATTTGGGCTTTTTGAATTGAAGACTGAGGTGGAAAGAGCTGTCTTCTGGCAAATGCAGTGCTGAATTTTGCCAGCTACAACTTCTGCTGCTTAATTGCTTTCAGTTTTCTCTGATGTGATTTCTAGAGGTGTAGATGCCACTAGAGTTCTAGATGCCACTCCGAGTTCTTAGCACTTCCTGGACTCAGAAAGGAGGAGTAGCTTTCAGCAGAGGGAGATAACTCATGGTGGCAGACATGTCTTAAAGTTCTAAGATGTCTCTTTCTTTCACCCTTTTCCCTGCCCTTCTCTTGGTGCTTTATTTAATAGTGGTGTTCCTTGTGGAACTGGCTAGTCTTAAGGGCTCCATGAAAAAGAGATGCACGACAACAACATCTAGGAAAGAAAACTGCACCATGGTGTCTTGAATATTGTTTAAAATGCTTTAATTACTAAAATAGGTATTCAGGATATTCTGGTTTTAGGTTCCAAACACCAGCCTCCTGCATTAGACTTCTGACACTCACAGAATTAAGCTAGTGCTGCCCAAAAGAAAGATTTACACATATGGTTGACCAATATCGGGAACTAACACCAGAAGGAACAAAATGAAGTTTTGAACTGAAAGCCATTACTTGTGCTTCTTCAGTCACTCATATGAGGCAGTTCCAGTTAGTGACTGGCTAAAAGACATTACAGGAGAAAAATCAGGGCTGCAAGTAGAACTCTTCTCTTAAAAGGCTGCTTAGCCTAGTTAAGCTAATAAATAATCTCATTGCACTAGGGTGAGTGTGAGGACTTGACTGGCTTCTCTAGATCCCACACACACCATAAGTAGTTCAGATGTAAACAGCAGGGGCTCAATTCTGCAATTTCTTGTAAAAGAAACCTTTGAGCTGAATTTTTGTTTCTCTTGTGACTGCAGGATCAGGCCCCTGATAGACAGCAGCAGTTTTGCTTCAGTTAATGAATTGTGCCACTGACAAAGGAAGGCCCTGAGCATTCATATTCAATGCCGCTTTGGTGCTGGGAAGCAGATGCTCCCACCTAGCATTTGTAGTACCAGAGTCTGAGGCAAAGAACACAGAAAATAAACTTCCTCTGCGTGGTACTCGTTCTAGACCACCCTCCCTTCAGACAAAACCAAACCCTTAAGTACTCCTCAGGGCTAATGTCTGTTCAGTTGGCAGATATGCTGCTGCTGCTTGTTCCTTACATGTTAACATCCCACCTTCTCTTCCTGTTGCAAATACAGCTTCACTGCTTACGGCTCTTAGCCCTAAGATCTAGGAAGTGCTTGTCACAGCACGGGCTCAGACTGAAAGACGACTTTTGGATTATTAAATTAGCTAGTTCTTGGGAGTAATGCAGCCTGGCTAGTAACCACTGCGTCCTACTTTGTGTTTTCTGAGAATACTAAAATGAATACAAAGTTCATTAAAGACAAAATGAATGTGTGTGCAGTCACCTTGTTATGCAGACCAGACCACATACTAAGTTTTGCCAAACACTAGGAAGGGGAATAAGAAAAGTTTGTGGTTGAGAAGCAGCCACGACTTTCTTCATGTTCAAACAGAAGCTCCTAGTGAAGAAGGAACACAAGTTTGGTGTGACACTGAGAAATTTTGCAACACAGATCTCAAATCAGACTCTGGTAAGAAGTACAGGTAGGATAAGCATTTCTTATTTCAAAGAAACAGCTTTAATTCACAGCAAGGTGTCGGTGGTGGGACAAGTACAGATAGCTCCATCCCCAACCCTTGGACTCCTGGCGCTGACTGAGCTTGTTCAATCCAAAGCACACCTTGCACCCTAGTGCCATAAAACCTGAGATACAGGAAGGGAGCATCTTAATTGGCCACAGTCAAACTTGTGCCGCTAACTAGAGGAAGTGGACTAATGTTCACAGTAAGGCAAATTTCAGAGTCTCCAACTGCTTGCCAAGATTAGCGAGGGCATGAGTGTGCTACTTCCTCCCCTTGCTAGGAAGTACCAATTACTTTCAAGCCCAGATTGCAGAGAAGGTAGCATGAGGGCAGTCTTTGGTTTTACAGAAGTGGGAAAGGTGTGTTACAGCAAACAGGTAGCTGCAAATGCCTGAAAGGAAAGTGTTCATCACAGGATCTGTGGGTAAAAGCTTCTCTTAGTCATGTGAGGAATGAATTTACTCTGTTCTTACAACTGGAGTAAATTCATTTTTACCTTACACATTCCATGGTGAGTACAAAATATTAATTTTGGACTAGCTGCAAATTATTTCATGGGGTGGAGTAGGTTGTCTCTGCAATGTCCTTAGCAGAAACAGCTGTAAAGTCCACACATGGAGCCTCAAGGTATTCAAGCAATCTTGATGTTCTCTACAGCCAATTAGATCCTACAGCCCAGCTTTCTAGCCTGTGTGACAAGACGCTTTATTTAAAATACTGATCTTCATTGCTTTTATGTGTTTGGTGTGAAAGAGATGGCAAGATTCAGTGATTTGAGTAACAGTTTAGCTTCATGCTATCCTGACAGAAGTCTTGGACTTCCTAAACAGCTGACACCCCTTCACTGGATGCGCTGTTCCTAAAGACTGACTGTATATATTAAAAATAATGCCAGAGCAATGCAGGGCTGCATACACCACTTTATGGGTCCAAGTTTGCTATATTAAATTGAAGAGAAATGAAGTTTAAAACAATTTAAAATGGACAAAGGATAAGCAAACAAGGGATAAGAAAGCATAGCTACTTCTGCTCTTGTTCTCCCTAATTCCACTCTCCCTATTTTTGTCTGTTAAACAACTGAAAAAACAACTTGTTTCATCACTGTGCTGCATTCAGAAGAGGTTCCTAAGGAGAGCATAGGAAACGATAAGCCCAAACTTTGAGATGGGAAATCACACCCTAGAGCTCACTCTGACAAAATGGGCTGTGTTCTACCAGCTCGCTGGGCCAGTGGGTCTCCCGGGCTGTGCAGTGTCTATTTCCCTTGTGCTAGTATTAGACTTGACTCTTTGGTGAGCTGATTTAACTCAAGTTTGGTGTCGTGAATCAGTTCACCAAAGAACCTGAGGAGCATGAGCATCAGAGGAAAGATGGCTGTGGGAGGGCCGTGCTGAGAGCACAGAAACAAAACTGCCTCTCATGGCAAAGTGAGCTTTCAGATCAGCCATTTCATCTGACTGCACCCTTAAGTCCTTGTGGGAGCAACATGACAAGCATTTCCTTGAAGTAGCTGGCATCGCTGCCTAGCTGTGCCAGCACAACCACGTGTTATGACTACATGCTAAATGAATCAAGTTATCGGGTATGGCAGCCAGATGTACAGTATAGACACTTAGGAAATGACTGCTGCCTGAAGAAATGTTTGGTAAATTACAACCTATGTTTTAGCCAACACCTTTCCCAAAACCAAGCCCAAAGTGTGCTTATAGCAGGCTCCTTCTTGAAAGACTGGAGTCTTCTTGTATTATTAGCTAAGCTAACAGCTGAGTCTTGGAATGCTGAGGCTGGCAGCATCCACAGTTGTTCACTTTTCTATGAATGACTGTTGATGCCATCTTTAATTTCTGTATTTAACGTCTCATAAGCAAACTTAAGTTATGTAGGTTTGAAATAAAAGGGCGAGGGGAAGTCACATGTCTGTAGTCTGCCACCACATGCCAGGTACTCTGTGCTTCTAGCCATGGGAACCTATACAAACGTGCTGGTGAAAGCTGGCTTTGAGCCCCTTGCAGACACTCTGCTGGAGTTTAGGCCTTGTGACTTTCAGAAGGCAGCTTCTGGATCATTTGTGGCAATCACAATTTAAGTCATACTGTGGTAACTCTCATTGTGCACGATGCCAATCCCGGGTGAAGATCTGTAGCTTTGGTCCATGTTCTGCTCTGTGACCAATTCCAGCTGAACAACGTACCTGGGAGATTTCAATTTGCTTTCTCAGACTTTCAGAAATGCTGAAGTCCACAAGAATGTCACAGTTCAATAGGTTATTCCCAGAGACTGCAGCAGGTGAAAGGTAGCACCCAAAGTCCAGCTTGTCTCTATGTTGTTCACTTTCTTTGTTAACTATAAAGGATGAAAAAGAAGTTGTTCCCAACAGTTCTCTAGATTCCTATGTTGCAGATGACAGCAACTACATGTAACAACCCTGTAAAGACTCAGTAGATAATTAGCTAGAAAAATGAACTAATGTATGTTGATGGATATAGAAATTGGAAAGCTGGCTTTGGATTTAACTGTTTTTCTCACCTGTAAGAGTGTGTTGTCCCTAAATCCAAAACCTTCCTTTAATAAAGCAGTGATGTAAGTGAGATCCATGCAGAGGAAAGGGCTGGCTGAGTTGTACCTCTCCATGTTGTTACAGACTAGAGAAGGAAGAAAAAAAAAAAAAAAAGGTATCTGAGCAAAATAAGAGCTTTTATCCACATTGTACATTTGAACTGACCTGAAGCCCGAGCCTACTAAAGCAAACCACCCATGTCTATCAATGGGTACATGTAACACATGGTACATGCTACATGGCTGTTCTGTGATGCTGGAGAATAAACTGTACTGTACTTCCAGTTTCTCTTAAGTCTATTGTAAGTACATCTTTTATTACAGCAGCATAATCCACATAGCTCTTTTGAAGTCTGAATCTCTGTTCAATTGATAACTGTCTGGGGGTTGGCAGATTACTTAAGTCTTTCAAGAACACAGCATCATTTTATTTTCCTTGTCTAGTCTTCAAGGATGGCTCCAGTAATGGACTCCACCTTCTAGGATGGCAGCTTCTTTTATTTTTTTCCAACCACACATGTCCAAGGACATGGAAGAGACCATTTCCCAACCAATCACTCCCTTGCTGCAGCTAAGTCAAGATTCCACAGTAAGGGTGACAGTGACTGGAAAATGGATTTACATTAAGCATCATCTTCTAGATCTACTGTTACTGGACTGTTCTACAAGCATCAAGAGCAGAATTCACCTCTTTTTTAGAAACTGATAGGCAACATCCTCTTACTGAAATGAGAGAGGGGAGCATTAATTCGGGATCCCAGACTTGATCTCTTGCTGCTCTGAAGCTAAATAAATGGTTTCATGGTGTTAGATAACATCTTAGCTGCATCTTTGGAAATAAGCTCTCCCAGTATCCAGGGGAAAAAAAAACAGCCAACCCACACTCAAACTTTAGAGCCTAATCCCCCTGTTCAGAATCATCTGAGTTTCTAGGGAGATTAAGTTTAATTGAAAAAACATTAGACTTTGGATCCTATTTTAGATAAAAGTCAGTCCTGAACTACATAGTTAAGCATCTTCTGGTGAAAAATACAGTCTACTAAACATCATGAGGGTGATCATGGTTCAAAGGTTATGTCTTGCTCTTGGCCATCAATAGCATGGCAAGGTGGGAGCTGTTTTTTCACAGGGGGAGGTACAAAACTAGAACAAGCATTCAGGAAAAAAATCGGGGGAGGAAAAGGAATGCAGAAGAAGCTATCAAGACTTAACCTCTACTCTCTCCCTCCATTTTGTTAGAGATTAAGAAGGATTTAAGGTGACAGACTTACAAGTCAGTGCTCTCCTAAACTCAGAGTTGCAGTTTGACAGAAGGAGCTCTTGATACAGTAAATTCACTTTCTTCTGTAATGACATTTATGAACTATCTCCCTCCTCTCCAGAGCAGAACTGCAAAGCCACTAACACTGTTTCCCCTTACTGCTCTATCAGTACTTTCTTCGGCAACAGTTACAGGTGTTGGCTAATAAAAGGTAAGTAACATGACATGAAAGGTATAAAATAAAGATTAAATAATATTTTTTTTTTTAGTTACGTCAAACTCACATTACATACTGCCTATACATTCATATTTTTGTTATTTCTCATCCACACCAGTTCCCCGGGTCTCATGACAATTACCTTCTTTGGCTTTTCTTTCAAAATCTCTCACTTCCAAAACACCTCCCTGTTCATAATCTGAAAAGGAAGAGGTGAGAAAACAACATCATAGACCTGAAAGCACTTGAGTTCTGTATCTAAACTGACCCTATAGTGCAACTCTGATGCTGGGCTAGGAGCAAGATCTGTGTTGGTAACAGAAAACAGAGCTGCAAGTATAACTGCAGCTCAGAGCCCAAGTCTCATCTGCTGAACTCTGAGCATCAAACTGCACTGGCAGATACATGTTCATTCCCTGGAGGCACTCTGTGTTTCCTTTGTCTGCCTTCTGGCTGACATGCTCACATGTAGTAGATTAACCCAAACCAATTTACCAATAAGGTTGGTGTCAACTGCTCGATCATAGTAATAGGAGAAAGCATAGAAGGAACTTCCACGAATCTCATCTGGTTGGTGCAGTTTCCCTTTGACAACCTTGAGTACTTCCAAGTAGCAAGGCTTGAATCCTGTTTCTCCTGTCAGGACAAACACAAATCGGGTGAGCCATCTCCAGGAGATGGAAGAATCAGTGGCAACAGGATGAAAAAGGGAAGAAGTAGAGATTAAAGCATCAGAAGAGGTGAGAAGAGCTTCCATAATCCAGCACAGCACCTGCATGCAGGCAAGGACTCTAAATCACCATCATCAGGTAGAACTAGTTAGAGCAGATGATAGCAATATCTGAAAGGTGTGCTGTGCAAACTAGTGTAGGTGCATGAAAAGCTTCCTCCATATCAGGCAAAACTCCCATTGTTATGTTCTGTGGGTAACAGAATCTCATTTACATTTGATACAACCCGGTAGATAAAACCTTACTTTCCCTCCCCATCACACTGTAATTCTATGGATCTACTACACACACACACCCCCCAAATCTACAATTTGGCTCTCATGTTCCCCACTGTAAATCAAAGAAACATCAGTCACCAAAGGGGTCTGTTCTAGTTACTGATGGCAGCAGCTTCACCCTCTGTGTGCAGCATTACGGATATCTTAAGAAATAGTTCCACAAGTGAGATACACTTTAGCCTACCAGTTATTGTACCCTAACACAGCCAGAGATTTTGCATTTAGCTCAAAGCCTCAGAAAAAGCTCTTATTTGCACAAATAACACTTAACATTTCCTATGAAGGTAGCATTTGTAGTAAGAGATCACAGCCATAGTACAGAGAGCACAGGCCAGCTACTCTTACAGATTCAGATTTTTCTCTGGCTCTGTCAAAGATCGACATCTATGACTGGACAGGTATCCTTCATAACCCAAGGTAACTGATGGAGTATTTGCCAAGAAAAAGCTCAAATTGTGGAGACAAGACTTATCTTGCAAAAAGGAACAAGTCCCCTTAGTTTACCTTCTTTGTTGCCACCATACCGGTATTTCACTCCCCCGAAGTGCCACTCTGCTTCAAGCTGCTTTGGCAAACAAGAACTGCGGAACATTTGTCCATCCACAGCTGGAATGAAACCAGAGGGGAAAGTCACAACGGATAAAATTTAACATAGTTATTGATCAATATGCAGAATCAGAAAAGGCTGAAAGATCTTCATTAAGGTCTTTATGCAAAAATATGGAAATTGAAATTGATGGATGCTGCACAAACTGATTATGAATGAAGGACCAGTCTCAGTCTGGAAAAGTTGTATCCATTTTGTCCTGCAAGCTGCAGAGCAGCTGGGCTTGTCACTTGTTAATGAGAGATAAATGGTACAAGGCATATCTGGATAATGGCTGTTCACCACAGAATACAAAACCCAAGACAGGTAATAAATTAAACACACAGCTACACAAACCCTAACAAACAGCAGATAATCGAGAAACAAAGCAACTGAGCAATGAAGACAAAAACTCCTAAGACACTGATCAATGGCCACTACAGGATCCACTGAATGTACCCTTGTAGGCTTCAACCAGAAATACTGCAGCTGATAAGAAAACGTGACGATTGTGGCCAGCCCAAGTGTCACAAGAAAAGCAACCTTCTTACAGAATGGTTGAGGGGGATTGTGGGACTGCAGAATTTACTATGGGATGTTTAGAGGAAGGCACAAAGGCAGGGAAAGGAGAATCAAGGGATCAGGGAAGCACAAATGTGGGAAGATGGAGGTGATGATAAAAGAAGGCAATCACAAGAAGGGAGCTGGTCAGTATGCTTTTCTGGCCAAGCCTTATAACCAATCACTGCAGTCTGTCCTACCTTCTTCCTAAGCCCTATTCCCAACTATTTTGGATTTGAGTACATTCTAGTAATTAATACAAGTCCATCTAGCTGGCAAGTATGAATCCAGAAGGTGGAAAGACCTCAGGTCCTGACCAGAGACTGGACAAAAGGCCCAGGGTCTGGGCATGAAGACTGGAAAGACTCAGGAATGTGAGTATACATTCAGGTTAGTGAGTGAGAGTGTGTGCAGCATGCTTGAGGACTTCAAGCTAGACTAGTCAGTGAATGCAACAGGAGGTCTGGGGAAACACAGTGGGCCAGGCAGATACCAGAGAGACCTATAAAGTGGGTGTGGCCTAAGCAGCAATCCTTAGGAAAAAAAATCCGTTTGTGCTGTTTGTGTTTCTGTGGATGCTTGTAAAGCTGTGAGTTTACAGCTGGCCATGTCTATATGGTGTCTGTATCTTCCCATGTATGCATTTCTGGAATTTGCACTCAGTCTCACTGATGGCTGGACCTAGAAATAGGGAAAAGCAGCTTCTCAAAAGACAACTCCTTAACAAACAGTAGCCTGTTTCCAGACGTATCTATACCAGTGAAAACATAGAAAAGCATGAGATACAGAAGTGAAGACATGGGAAATGGGCTGCTGACACAAGACCACCTCTTCAGAAATCCTGGATGTTTTATCATATGAACATACCTTCCATATTCAAAGCTCCAAGCGTTGCTAGTCTGGCAGCTTTTAGTCCAAACCCCAAATAGCTGCAAACAATAAAGACAGACATTACAGTTTTAATTCTTGTACATCTGGTATGCTTTACCCATAGTCCCTTCCTAAATCCTGGAACACCCAAAGCAAATCTCCTTCCTCTGCTTCCCCCAAGTCTCCCCCTCTATAAAACAGAGAGTTCCCTTTGCCAGAACAATTCCAAGTACCAAGAGTGACACAAACCCAAGAATTTAAAAAAGAGCTGTAAGATGGGTAAATCAGAAACAGCTGATGTGACATTTCCACAAAACATTTATGAAAAGCAAAAATGCAGTCTTAAAAATGAGGGGGGAAGAAGGGTCTGTGAGGAGTGCATGGGGAACAGGATGGCCATTCTTAAGTCACCCACATGAAGACCATGTGCTCTTAGGGCAGAACTAACAGGAGAACTGCAGAACCTCCCACTACATGGGAGCTGTGCCTTTGTGTGAAATCCACCTCTGACTCCACAAATTACCACTATACTCATTACAAGCTAGGATGTCAACAATGTTTATGATAATGTCATTACACATTGCTGGCTTCAGCAACTCAGCTAGATTCAAAACCTGTTGGTCTTTCATTCCCACCTCTGTGTTTGGCTACTTACCCCTTTAGTCATGTCAATACAAACATTTACAGAATAATCAGAGTTAAACTAACCTCCAACTCCCTCATTTTTTAGGAAATTATTTTCAAGCCCAATTATTTAAAGTGGTCTAATGGACTGTATTGGTGAACACAGCAATCAGTTACATCAGTAAATGTAAGCAGTAGGAGAGGACTATTAAACCAGCTTTGCTGTCAGGTAAGCATATTCTGTAACTGACTGAGGTGATAATCTTCATCCCATTAGTAACTGATTTAACTGACCGAGACCATCTCTCTATTATACAAAGTTGAGTGCTCACTGGACTTTAAGTCATGCAGGTGAACTCTGGATTTCACTGCAGACATCTCAGAAACTTGTCATCTTAACGTAGTAAGCACAATTATATTATTCCAGGCTAAGTATCCCCTCCAATTGCTTCAAGAATCTGTTGTGCTCCACGGTCTGTATCAGCTGCCTGTGGTTGTCTCTCTTCGGTTTACATCAGTCTGTGTTTTACTTTTTGTCCAGTTGCTAACGAGATGTGCCATTTTCAACTAAGAAGGAAAAAGTCTCAGGAAGGTCCTCCTTTCAAATCTCTGACCAGGTTTAGTTCTGACTGCTGGTATCATATCCACCTTTCTGCTTGGTCCAGAATATTTGGCTTGAATCCAGCATTAAGAGTTCTGCTGAAATATCTTCCTCTTCATTTGACAGACTGACTAATATTCCCTTGCAGTGATATTAACCATGATCCTGGAAGGTTTCCACTCAACTAATGTCATGTTCTACTTCAACTAATGTTTTAAGCAGGCAAGAAAACTAGTTAAAAAGTCATGGTCCCAACAGCTGGTAACAGGATGACATGGCCATTTATGGTTAGCTCAGGGGCTGCAGAAAGACTGATTTCCCCAGCGAAGACAGCGGCCTTTTTGCTCCTCACCTGTGGGTATAGAGCTTGTAGGTGCTATTAAACATTTCAAATGAGGTAAGAAAATCCCCAGGGGTTTCCTTCAAAGTTTCCTAAAAGTTAAGTAAAAGAAGAAATCTTTTAGTTTCTATTATGCAATAAAGAATAACCAACTTTGATGTAATATCACAGTTACTGCACACTCATCTGATCTGCTTTGAAAACAAAGAACAGTTTTCCAGTGGTGCCCACTGCTGTAATATCTGCAGCTTTTAACACTGAGTTTATTTATATGCATCTCTGTATGTATACTAGGGAAGCACAACAGATAAAGATGAAAATACTTTCTAATTCAGGATACCTGAATTTTTCAGAGTACTTATGTGCTAGTCTATACAGAGACCCCATTGAAATCAGCTGCACTAGAAGAGCTACGAACATTTGCAAGTCAGACTAGACAGATCAGTTCAGGAACTCAGGACAATTAAAAATGCAAAGTAAAGTACAGGCCACATTTTCACCATGTTAAATGTCATGCTAATACGCAAGCAAACACTGTGAGCACTCACTCCCAGTCTTAGGGCTGCTTTACCTCCTGGTTTAAGTGCTTTCCCGGACATGTCTAAATAAATCTCGTCTCATCACCTCCAGTTTTCCTCCTTTCATAGTCTTCGCTCTGTGTGCACCTCTGTCCCACTGGTACTCAGTTCCTACCTTCTTGCCAGACTAAATCCCATATTCTTGTAAATCTGAACCACTTAAGGGCTCACTTACTGTTCATTTGTTTCCAGTCCCTGAGATCTCAGTCCCAGTTTCTGTCTTTCCTTTGTTAGTAACCTCATTCTCCCATCCCTTCTTGGCCCTGTGCATTCATATCAGACACTGTTACTCTGGGCCAAGGAGCAGAATGTCAGAGGACTGAAGCTGCAAAGTCCCTGTAGTTACCATTCAAGTAACCAGACACAGCAACAAAACACCAAACAGATCTGGAATTGTAGAGTCCTAGAGAGAAGCCTGCTCAAAGCTGAAAGGCAGTGTTCAGCCTGAGTTTCTCTGAAAAAGTACAAATTGAAATTTGTTTTGGACGTCAGGTAGATTTTCACTGGAATAGCAGTCACATCCTTGACCCAACACTCCCAGACCCTGCCATATATTGAGTTCTGTTCCTAAACCTTACATGACAAACTTTTAAAATTGATAGATCCTGGGAGAAAAAAAAAAGTTTGGAGAAAATAACTGTCTTTCTTCATGCCTTACTTTCACAAAAATGTAGAAATCCTCACACCCCTCCCAAATGAGGCAGGCACCAGACAGAAAATTTCATAATGATTCTGATTGCTTTTCAGTTGCTTATAACTTTGGCAATAATACCATGAAAAGCATAACACTAGTTTAAAAACAGCTCCATGCAGTTACCATTATATGTCCTTTATTTGCTTGTAATCTAGACTTCATCAGTGAATCCCTTATGATTACAGTGTTTTGTTTAAAATGAATAGAAGAGCAAATATGTGACTGCCTCAGATTGCAGGAAGGGAAAAACTCCCTCTGCCAATCAAGAGGGAAATCCCTGCTAATTCCATCAGATGGGAAAAACTTCAGAAACATACTCAGCTACGAATGTGCTTTTTTGTATGCACTTGACAATACAGGTGAGAAGCAGACATGGCATACAAGCAGGCAACATGAACCTTAACTTCCACACAGCATTGGTCCTGGTCAGTAGCAAACCCTTGAGGTCTCTTCCTGCAAGGCTCGAAGGAGACATTTGAATCCTGAGCTGCTGTTCAGCCTACTTCAAAGTTCTATTTTTGCTCCAAAACCCTGACATGCAACACCCTTTCCTGTTGGTCCAGTGCCCGCTTCAGCAGGTGTTATCAACACAAAACAGAGGGCAAGCCCAGAGTACTTGAGGCTTTGCTGAACAGGATAAGGTTGCACGTCATGTTTCAACATGACCCATCATTGCAGAATTAAAATATCCTGATATGAAAACCATGTGCTTTGTGGTCACCAAACACCCTCTGAGAATCTCAATTTCTGTAAACAAAAAAAAAATGTTAAAGGACTCTTTCAGAAAGGGAGACAAAACCAACTTCACAATATCAAGGTAAAGAATGTTACACTGCCCTTCCAATACCCATACTAATTTTCCCATGCAAACTATAGATTTGGGTCCCAGTTTAAACTGTTTCTAAAGAGCTACAGAATTCCTGACAAATCCAGCAGAGACAGACTGAGGGGCAGAGAGGGGAATTCTCAAAGAAAATGAAAGTAGTAAGAAAATGAAGAGGGATTGACTATGCTATTATGAAAGACATTTGCCCCATGAGACACCCCTCTCCAAATTTTAGTGAGGATATGCTATCAGACAGGAATAGAAAAAAAAAAAAAAAAGAAAAAAGATAACTCAGAGCAGACCCTAAATTCTTGTAATATGCAAGAATACTCCCTGGATATGTTCTACATTTATTGAATACAAAATAATTCTGCATTAATGAGGCCCTCCCAGCCTGGGTCTAGAAAACAAAAGCTGTTTCTCTTTAGTTTTATCCATTTGCTTTCCTTTTTCTTCCTTGTTATCCAGGCTTCTTTGTTCATAAGCGCCTATCAGTCAAATGCTGATGTCAAAGGGAACAGACAGACAGATGATCTGTACACCACAGATGTTCTGCTTGTGCCAGTGCAGACAAAATGGTGTCAGAGAGCATAGCTATGCTCAGGTCTCTCCACTGGCCCGGCAGTCCCAGCCCACACACTTTTAACCAGTCCTCACCTCAAACCGTGGCAGGAATGTGATTTGGGTTGAGGCTCCTCCCAAGTCCAGAGTGCCAACAGTATGCAGGTTCTGGCCAGACAGCTGCCCTGCAAACAACATCACGCTCAGAATAGCCCCAAGTGCAAAATATTGCATGCATGTTCAGGCAGCCACCCAGTTATCACATTATCAGAGCAATACAGGAGGGCTAAACTGACCTTCAAAGACAGAAAACATCACAGAGAAAAGGTAGGCAAACAGAACGTATTATGAAAAGATTCACAGGACTTTTTCCCTTGATTCCAATTTTGCCTCCAAAGAGACAAAAGCAGGTAAATCTCTAGTCATCCAGCAAAAGTAAGAGATAAAGTATCTCCTGGAGAAGACTGTCAGGGAGATACATAAATTCTGTTAGCACCATACGGATGGTCAAGAGCAGTAGGAGAGGAAGGACAGTAAAAGCAGAACCAGCTATTATAATTTCTCTTCACCCAGAGCAGCTGGTTTGCTTGCTCATGTATCTACTAGAGTACTGGTTTCTCTTCACTAGGCTGCATTCCCAGAATTTCTTAGAGACACCAGGGCTAAAGCACCAATGCATTCCATGTTACATCATTTCAGCTGCGTAGTTCACACTGGGATGAAGAATATTGCAAAACCTTGTTTCTCACCTTCTAACAGATTAGCAGTACCATGCCCCTACATGTTACAGAAGCCAGCTTGCCAGTGCCTCCCAGTCCTGAGTAAATCCTGGCACCTTCTGGATTAAGATGCCTCCTTCTTACTACAGGTGTGTCTCACCCTCTGAAACACAGTCTGCCTAAGACAATCCACTGCTTTAGCACTGGTTCCGCAGCAGGGAGGAAAAGCAGGACATGAAAACCAAGGCAGAGGAACTTAGGGTGATCGCCTCTGCGGAAGAGACTCGAGTTCATATTCAGAGAGAGGTTATACAGGATTAACTACCTGTCAAAAAGTTCACAGTGATCCAGGCTAAAATTCCTGCAAAGAGTGAAAAAGAAAAAGAAAAAAAATCACCACTGAATAATCCCACAGCCTCCTGCCCATTCTTACCACCCCTCCACATGTTATTTATTTATCTGGAAATCATTATTAACTTAATGTAACCACCCCATACTTCAGAGATTAATTAAACTTATAATTAAGTGATATGATCCATTACTGATGCATTAAAATCTCATAAACTGGGATAGAACCTCTGTAACATCCATGCAACTGCAGCATGCACAAATCATGTCTGTTATGCAAACAATATACAAAGAAGTAAGGAGCTGACACAAAGCACAAATCTCATTGGACGGTTCCTCCCTGCCCCCCAGCATTTCAATTCCTAATCTAAAATTGCATACACATCACTCTGTGTTTTAATCTTGTGGTTTCCATAATTACGCTACAGACACAGCGGCAACCAGTAAAACAAACAACCCTGACTCTAGCAGCTTGCTTGACACTGGAGGGATTCTCACCCAAACACAGACAAACATGTGACAGTAGAAGAGGTGAGATTTTTAAACAAACCTTGGCAGGCTACACTGTGCTCTATTATGCCTCATTGGTCCTGCTGCCTGTCAATTCAACACTTCCCCCTAGTATATAATTCACCCATTAATCCTAGTGACATACTACACATTGCACCATACTTCATCGAATACTTGTGTTACTCCTCTTTTTCTCTTGGCCCATATGGACAGATTGTGTTCTTTAATCTTCCTCCATTTATTAGTTGCTTAAGCATCATGGTATTTCACCTTCCAAACTAGCAATGTATCTGCCATAACAAAGTGTTCAGAACTGAACGTAGCATCATAGATGGCTTTTCTCAGGCATCCATACAGGATTATTACCCACTAATCTCCAAGGTACTATGTCTGAATATGTAGTAAAAATATTACAGTAGTCTACTCTGCACTGCAAAACCATCAGTCACTCCAAACTCCCAACTTATTTCACCTTTTCTTGTATTTTAGGTTACTTCCTTTGCTACTTTATTAGCTGCATTTTTCCAATCAGAGTATTTTTAAAATTTATTATATTATTGTGTATTTCATTATTTATTTTTTTAACACTTGCCAATTATCCTTCATTTTCCTCTAATATTCACAATGCTTCCAACCTTAACCATAAAGTTGATGAGTTAATCATAAACAGTTATTTTTAATAGTGATATTGCAGAATTTACTAGACACTTTCCATAGGTTTCCTAGCTTGCTATATATCATCATGCAGCCTTTCAGAGGGTGGACACCATCTTTTTTTTTCAACAGTTCCCAAGAGCAGGCTTCAGTTGATTAGGCTGCATACTTATTTCTGAGACAAGATTCTCTTCTGTAACCTCAGGTTTTAGTGAAACTTCATCTAGCTAACTTATCATAAAACTCTTTGTGTATCTGCATCTGTAGCTTAATGGCTGATGAAGCAATCAACTGATGCCTGCTATCTGATGCCTGCAAGCCAGTTGGTGCTAATCGCTGTAAGGGGCCTCAGACAAGAATGCACCCGAGGACATTATTTTTGCAACTGTCGTGGGTACGTCCTGGGGAGGGCAGAGAAACCAACAGATACCTGTGGTAATCAAAGATAAGAAAGCTGAGAAACTTTACAGACAGAGCAGTAAACCAGGACAATGCCTTATATGAAAAAAACCTGAGTTCATGGAAAGGACACTAAGAGACACCTCTTCAACAACCACTAGGGACCACCACAGACCACTGAAAGCCCCCACAGAAGCCCCTCAGAGACCCTTCCCCAAATTTTAGTAAGCTTGTGCAATGTATTAACGCATGCATTAGATCCTTTGAAAACAGATGTATACTTCTCGGAAGTTACATGAACATTAATTTCTTTTATTGTATATAATAAGTGTACTTTTGTCTTTCAGCACACACGTTAGGTGGAATGATCCCCCGTGCATCCAGTGCTGCAGTAAAGAATGCCTGCCTTCTAAAACTTCAGACTAATCTTAGGGGGCTCTTTTGAGACCAAATTTATGGTAACAAACACCTCCTAGGAAAACCAGGGTTGAACAGTTTCAAACAGAGCTAGAAACTTTTTATTTTTTCCCCTTAGTTTAATGACCATTTCTTGTTCCCTCTCATGTCCGTATCTCCCTCCCTTCCCCCCACTCCTCTTTGCTTTCACTTTTTCCTTATTCCTTCAGGTATACATACCTTCATAAGACCCATCCATGATGCTAACACTGTCCTCTGGAACAAGAAATGGTGATTCCTCAAAGACTTCTCTCACCTGAAGAAAGAAATAATTATTAGATTCCTTGGTCTTAAGAGTCTTGTTCTGCTCTGATGGTGAAAGAGAATGTTTTCTTTTTCACAGCAGTATAAGACAAGTGCATGGAGTAGACAAAATAATTCTTCTTTTAAGGGCCAGGAAAGAAAGAAACAAGTACTGTAGGTCTCTCTCTCCCCATGACTTCTATCAACATCAAGACAGAGGATTTCAGGACCATACAATACAAGAAAGTCCATAAAGTCTGTGAGCTGCATGCTATCATGGGATTGCAGTCACTTTTCACAGCTGAAATTCTCTTATGCTAAATAGAATGGAGAACTGAGTAATGAAAGATGAAACAGGGAGAGCAAGACTAGTGCATCCAAAATATCTTAGTACATCACCTCTAAAAGCAGCGCTTGAGCTTTCTCTTCTGACAGCAAGCGCAGTCCAGCTGTGGCTTTTAACACTACAGGGGTCTTCTTCCAGAGATGAGGTGGCACAGCCTCTATGGCCATGTCCAGCAATCTTTTGATGGATTCAGCACCCTGAAAGGAAAAAGATTATGTTTTTCTTATGGTTTCCTCCTACAGATCATCAGAAAAAAGGCCTTCCAAGTCCCCCTCAACACTAGTGAGACCAGTATTCAGTAGCAGAACATACCTCACCCATGCCAGGATAAAAACTGTGCTAGAAAAGGACGAGGGTATTCAGCTACATCTCAGGTGAGAGAAATGTCATTGTGGAAGGTATTTGCAAGGATGGAGGGAGACAAGGGAACCGAGTATCTGACAAAACTAGACAGCTTGCAGCATGATGAAATTAAATGGTACAATTACTGACTGAAGCTGCAAAGGTGAGGAGGAATGTCTGTAGATTTCACTAAATGCAATATAAGGATTTCAAGTGTGTCCATAGCAAGCAGTGTAATTAAAATGCCAGCTGGGGAATGGTTACCACACAAGGTACAGGCATCATTGCTGGGCTCTCAATTATTTACACAGCTCTAATGATTAATTTGGCATTAAAAATAAACATTCTCCTGTGAAATACCTAGACATTTCTTTCAGGGTGAATTCTTCTCCTCTCCTACTCAACAAACAATTTAGTGAAATAATGAGAGCTATTATCAAATTTAAAAAAAAAAATACAGAAGCCATTCACTTTTCCATAAAGCTTCTCACCTGAATTCCTGTAGCACTGAATGCAACTGAGCAAACTAAGAAACCCCCAACTCCCCCTACAATAGCTCCCAATTCCAAGGCTGCTAAAGCACACAAGGTAGAGTATCTAACCTAATCATTTCTCTGGCATCAACTTTAGCTTGTGAAAGAACTTCTGTCAGCGCAGGGGATCTAGAAAATGGCTGCTTACTTCAGGACTGTCCCTGTGTATCGCAACAGGATTATTTTAGTGCTCTCTGCTCTGTTACTCCTGATCCAATAGAGTAGCATGGAACAAGCATACTGTGCATGAATTCACAACCACCCCCACTTGAAAACAAAGACGATGGCACCTAACTTCAACTTCTTATTAAAATTATAAATGTGCATGTTCATTAATACATCTGATTGCGGAAGATGGAACTGTCCAACTGCGTTTTGAAAAACTCCATATATATAAGAAAACAACAAAAGTCCTGAGGCAGTAGAAGAGTAACTGCCTGTACCTATTACTACTCAGATAAAACGGTAATCAAATATTTGAAATGAGCATGACTGAAGTGAGTCCCACATATCACTGAGAATTGGCTTCCAAGCCATGATTCCAAAGCCAACAGCGAAGAATCAGAACAAATTGTTAGAAGTCTGATGATAGAAGCAGAGAATACACTTAGAAAAATATTAAGGCCTGACTTAACCTGAGAAGTGCATCTTTATTCTTCCCTTTCTCCGTAATGTATTAACACAAATTAACTTTTGTAGATCTTACAATACACAGAGTAAAAGTAAACATTTTTAGGAGTCAGAGAAATGAACCCTCTTTTGCTTGTCAGTGTAACATGCCTAAAAAAGAAAATGCCCAGTCTTAACCCTTTACTTCTAAACCAAACAAATCAAAACAAAATATGCCCATTTTGAACTGTAACCAACACTGAAAATTTCAACCAAAAGGAAAACCTGATAAAATTATTAGTAAATGAGACAGGAGTATATATTTACTCATATTTGGGGTAGCTATAGGGGTAATAAACATCGAATATCAATGCTGCTAGAGGAAAAAAATCACTTTGTCTTTGAAACATCAAAGGCTAGTTATATACTGCATTTAAGAATTAATTAAGCCATTGTTCCATTGATGAAACATGTAAAACAACAGCTCCCATTTCACTGAGTAGAAATGAACTCACAAAAGTAGAGCAACAGGTTTAGAGAGCCAGCAGTAGAACCCTTACGGGGTTTTTTGAACTCTCTGCAGTTACAATTAGTAATACTTGAACTGCTTGGTACAGTCCAACTGGTATTAGCAGAAGCAAGACCAACTCACAGGGAATGAAGCAGAGCCTTACCTTTTCAGGCTGATCAGCATATGCAGAAAGACCTGGCTTCACAGACTCAAAGATTTCCCCTTCCAACTCTGGAAGGTTTTCTGCACAAACGAAACATTACATGAAACGCTCAAGAGCTCCAATCTTTTTCATTTCAAAAAGGTTGCCTGCCACCCTGTAATTTCCCTTGCAAACAGTACTATTCCTCTCCTAAAACAAGAACTGCTCTTTCACTTCAGGAACATATTTAACAGAACATTGCCCTTGTATCCTCCAAGTTCACAAATAATTTATTAAGAACATGTTGTTATATAATTAGAAGTTATGTTCATTTTGCATTTGTGAACTACAATGAGTTACAGCAATGCAGTATGATTCCTAATCTTAATAAAATTTCTTTCTCTTTCTGCCTCAAGCTAATTATGAAATACTAATTCATATTAAGACACACACAATCAACTCCTGATTATCCTTAAGTGATTCATCCAACTCACAGACTGAAGTGCCTGGGCTCAAGCACTCAGCTGCAAAGCCAAACAAGCGTGACCATTGCTCCCAGGGCAGGTGGAGTCTAGAAGCTATCCCTAAGTATTGCGTATTATGAATCAGAGCTGGACATTGTACCAGTCCTTCCAAACTAAGGCTGAAATCATGTGAAGCTACATAGGTAATATGCGTGGCCCTGAAGGGCTTTTTAGCCAAGTTTCACCAACTAGACTTCAACCTTTGATTATTTGCTGGCTCACTGTACCCAAGTTAATCCACCCTCTTCAATCTCGTTGGGTGTGCAGCCAACCTGGGTACCTCTGTGCCACGTCAGAAGCTGATATACTGGAGTGTGGTGCATCTGTACCCAGGAGTTCTCCTGGAAATGTCTCAGGCCTTTGGTGCTTTTAATTCTTTAATTTACTGATTTTAATTTGCTACAAAATGTGGCATATAAACATACACAAAATCTAAGTATCTCTTGATATAATTCAAGGTGACACGTAACTTGACAAAAACAGTTTAAGCCTCTTTCCATCTCAATGAGACATTCCTTTAAACAGCCGCATAGATGAAAATCTTTGGAAATTCAGAATTCTCCAGTATACCCAGAATTAAACCTCTGAGTTTCAAAAGATCTACAAAAAAAGATATTTTCACATCAAAACACCCCCATAAATGGACAATAACCATCTGCCAGAAGACCATTTGAAGGACAAACTATAGAAGTCTTCAGTTGTTCCTGAATGCTGTGTTGGGAAAAAATAAACTTCGTTTGGGAAGTTGAAATCTAAATCAACATAGGGTCCTACCTGGGCTGTTCTGCACAAAGGTGTATATGTGAATCCGGGTTCCAGTGCTTCCTGCGTCAAACATTATGCCATAAAAAGTGTTGCCTTTGGCATTTATAGGGCATGTGTTAGGTGGAAAGAAATCCTGAAACCACATCTCCCTGTTTGAATGCGAAAAAACAAAGGACAAAGAGGAAAATGCCAATGCTATAAGGATGAGAAATCTGGAAGATGCCATCATGTCAGGACCCCCTGAGGCAATCAAGCACAGATCAGGAATCACAGAGCTGCAGTAGGTCCTGTAGAGAAAAAAAAAAAAAAAAAAAATACCAAGAGCCCTCTTAAAAAATCTGTAAAAAATTAGAAGTATCAGTCTGTACACATATATCTGCTCTTTAGATGCTTTTCAACACCTCATCCAAAAGATGTGATTTACTGCACTTAGTGCTACAACTACATCTAAGTGAAAGGTTTCTCCATTTCCCAAATGCAGAAGAGTTAATGTAGTTTGCTTCCCAGTATTTCTAGTTTTGATTTTATTTAGACAATTTATTTTCTTTGATTTGGCTTGAAGGTTCTCAATGTTTAGATTCCCCAGAATCTCCAGAAAGTCCAGATGTTATCTGAAAGGAAGCATCACCAAAGGGAAGCTCAGGGCAGAACCGCTTTACCCTAACACTTACACACTTGAGATGCTGTGGGAGAACAAAAGTGTTATTCAGAGTCACAAACAAAGACAATTTCATCTCAGGCTAAGAACAGCTGCTGGGAGAGATAAGCGCACAGAGTAATAGAAGGCATATCCTTCCAGTAGCATCCTTCGTCCCCAGGAAAAGCCTGGGCTGCACAAGAGGGACTAAACTGCAAGGTACACCTGGGCTCTGTCTCTTAGTATTTTTCATAGTTTTCCTTTCTATCTTCATTTTGTTTTTTCCCAATTTTGTCCTGACAGAGTTTTCATTTTCAGAATTACAAAAAGCCTCAGCAAAACCCCACCACACTCACACCTAGATGAGTTGCCCTGAACACTCCAGTTGCTTACACAGCTTCTAACAACAGTTTCAATAAACCAAGGCCCCAAAGTTGTGTGATGCAATATTGGATATCAAGATATAAATACACCTCCTCTCTCTTAACATGCACCTCTTTGCATAAATTTTTCCTAGGAATGCTAATAAAGGAAAGATATAGGCACAGAAATGATAGGGTTCATTAGGTGCCCAGGTGAAGAGGAGAATATATAGCTATCTCTGTTATTTGCATTTTAACAGCAGAAAAGAGCATGTGGCCAGATGCCCCACCATATGCATTATCGCCTGCACTGACATACACACAGAGCACTCAGCACACAGAAGGTGCAAACAGGTCCTTATCATTCTCCAGACACTTGGTAACACATTCATCCACCCACGGCACTAAATATTCTATTTCATATGCCTATTCATCTGCTATGTCTGGGACCCTCACCCACCTCTAGCCCTTACATTTGACTTTTAGTGATCTGCTCAGCCCCACTATGTTCACTCTCTCAAAATCTTTATCTGCTATCTCTAGTCTACATTTATTCATTCCTAACCCTAAAATCTCTCATTTCCTTTCTATGTGAACCTGACAGCCTCTATTTCCACACGCCTTTCTCACTTGCTCAAAGAACTCACTTATTCTCCACTACCTTTTATCCCAGATTTAGCCCTTGTACGACTTTTATTATTTCCATCCTTCACCTCTGTCCCCAGTTACAGCAAAGATTAACTTTTATCCATTCTCAGTAAACAATGTCGCACTGGGTCATTCCTCGAGTGTCTCTCTAACTCACTCAAGCATTCATCTATCTCCAGGGCAAACAAAATGCACAGTCCACTGCAGAAGGGTAACCTTGCCTGTCTTCTGTGACCTTTATTTGTATCCTCCTGTTCCTAGTAAATGCAGAGAGCTGCAGGCAGAAGCACAAGCTCTTGATCCACTCTGCCTTAGAAACACACTCTGAGAAGAGTAAGAAGTGACTTTACAATTCCACAAAGAGGCAACAGCCCTGGCCACCCTCTGTGAGAGATGGACTCCAACTGTAGTAGTGTCTAAAGCATTCACATTTTATGTGGAGACGAGTAAAAACTTAGTTCTAACATCTAACAGCTCAAAATTCCTATCCTGAATATTCAAGTTCATGTAAAGTGCTAAGCTGCTTGGCAGCTTCATAGCTATGGACTTGTACTAAGATGCAGCTGGCATTACCCGCGTTTGCTCAATCACTGCCAGGATGTCTACTGAAAATCCAAGAAGCTGTTCAGCTGATCAGAAGAGGTGTTGTTATTCTCATGCAATGTAAGGATTTTGCTTACTGAACAATCACAAATACAACCCAAGCACCTGATTTAAGAATAAACTCCAGAGTCCTATTACAAACGGCACACATGGAACTTTCGTAATCTCCAATGATCCGAAAACATCTGAGCAACTGCCATCATTAACACATACTTTTATTGTCAGATCTAATAGTGGATGAGCCTTAGCCTCCCATGAAACACTCCCTCACTAAGCTTTTCTCCTCTATCCTTTTGCAGACATTCACTATTTCACACTTTCCATTCTCTACTTCTCCCTTAACTTTTTTCCCTTCCACTTCCTTCCCACTTTCCTTTCCTCATGAGGACAAAAAAACCCAACCCAAAAACCTCAGGATTTGTTTTTCTACCCCCCTCATTAAGAACTTAAAAAAGCACACGGAGCCTCTTCAATGAGTGGTGAAGACCATTTAATCGAGCACACTAGCAAAACAGTGTCCACAAGAAGCATAAAAATAGATGAGTAAGAAATCAGAGACAAGAGAGGGACCTTGGCAGAGCATAACAGAAATGGCAACAGAAAAGGATCTGGAAAGAGAGGGTCAGAAGAAAGAAGAAAAAATTTAAGGTAGAGATAGACAAGGGATGAGTTACTGAGAAAGAAAAATATTTCCAAAAGAGTTATTCTCAAACAAAATAAATTTCTAGCTGCTATCAGAATACAACTGGATGGATAGATGAACAATAAACAGAGATGAGAAAACAGAAATACGAGCACATGTTCATTAAAATAAGCAGCCAGTTCAGCAGGTAAAAATGCACAGATCACCATCACTAGGGCTCTCATTACTGCCTTTACAAATAAGCAGTAATAATCAACATCAATTGTGAATATGTTAGCCACACACCTGAAGCAGGATGGAAGCAACAGCTATTCCACTCCAGATCTAGATACTTCGGAGCGCTGCGACAAGAGACACTGCGCCTGCACTTCTTTTCTTCACCTTCGCTTTCAGCTAGTAAGAGTGGACTATGTATCAGGCAAATTATAAGGTCATGGAAACACATAAAGTATCAGTCGAGTTGCTTTATTCAAATTTGAGTTTATCATTGCTCAATACAAGCAGTGAAACATGCTCAGATAATTATACAGGACGAATGTCAAGAAGTTGAAAGTTAACAGAGTTCAACAAGTTAGTAAAACATTTACACAAACATTACAGTTGACCTCAACAGCACTGGCCTGAGTCCAGTGATACAAGGTAGAACACTCATCTCCCAACACAGAGAAACACATGTAAATATCATCTGTATAAGGCAGATTTTAGATACTAAACCAAAAATTTGAAGCACACCAAATATAGAGCTTTGGCAGCTACACAGTCTGTACAATCCAAAAATACTGGGATGCTTCAAACAGACCGCCAAGACTGAAGGCACGAATAGGAAGGAAAAAAACCCGAAACCAACAAAAAACCCCAACCAAACTTTCTTTAAACAACAAAAGTAAAAACAATGACAGAATAATAATAAGAAACCTTAAGACAGCAAAACACAACCTTACTTAAGAGTTTACCATACACAGAAACACTGGTAGCTTTCAAGACAAGAAAGTCTCACCCACATTCTTGAATATTTGACAAAAGACAGTGCAAAACCCAAACCACAGCAAGAGGAGCATCTCCCTGTAAAAAGGAATCTGTCTGATCTGAGGGGAGGGAAGAGCAGTCTGTCTGAAACATACAGGAATTTCCCTTCTGTCTCCTAAAATATTATTGAGAAATATTTGGATATAAAGTAAAATATTAGAAAATAATTAGAAATATTTATGATACATAAATATTCAGACAAACATTTTAGGAAACAAAATCGATGAATTATGTAATTCAATTAATACTGTTATTTATTGCTCAAGCACACCAAAAATCATTTGGAATGGCAAGTCTATTCTCTGCACTAAACCACTAACAAAATCTATTTTCCAGATGAGCAGCTTTTATAGTAACAAGATCTATTTCCCAGATGAGCAGCTTTTACACTTCACACTCTTGACTAGGCAAATACATTTTTACCCTTTTTTTTTTTTTCTTCAGAAGCAAAAAGTTATTGAGGTTTTTTTTTAACTTATTTTTATCTAGTTAAAAAAAAAAAAAAGCTTTCTTGGATTGTTTTGACAAAATTTAATCTTCTGAAAGGCACACAGTTTAAAAAAATCACAATAGAAAGAATAACTGAATTAATTGGTGGAATTTCCCAGCACTTCCATGAAGTTAATGGCACAATATTCTTTGCACACACACATTTTGGGTAAAATTCTAGATCTAGAGCTTTAAACACTAGAAAAGAAAAAAGAACCAACTCACAAACATGTGTTATCAGCAGCTTTTATCTTCTTCCTGCACCGAGGCTCTAGATACACATTATTTATTTATTCTCATTCCTGCCCAAGTGGGTTTTCAGTTTTCCCATTTCATTAGGCCAGGGCAGGTTTCCAAGAGGCCGCCGTGTTACCCCGCGTTAGCCCGCGTCCCCTCACACTCTGTGGCTGTACCCCTACGGGGGCTGTAAATAACATCTTGTACTGGACCAGGGGGTATTCTCAGAAAGCGGGTTTTGCGTGCAGAGGGATTTTGGGTGCGGAGGGCTTTTGCTTCGACCTAAGCCTGGGGAGAACTCCAGAGCAAATGTCTGCGCGTGGCCGCTAGCTGTGCCCTCGAAAGCATTCACCAGGGCTTCTCCGAGCTCCATGCGGAGACGGGCACCCTCACGCCCCTCTTCCAACTACCGGCAGGGCTGTAGGCTACTTTAACTTTCACACACCTCAACGGCGAAGCACTCTCCCCTTCTCCACGGCAAACAGTTGCAATCTAAACCCCTACACTGAACACGCCTGAAAAAAACGCCCCTACCTTAATTTTCTCTCCCCAAGCAAAAGCCTCCGCGCCTCCTCCCCGACCGCGGCGAGCACGGCCCTCGGGATCCCGCGGCTCTCCTCCCGAAGCCGGCACCGACAACACTAAGAGGAACACTCCTCGAAATACTTATTTCTCCCTCTTTAGCCACCCACAGTTGTCACTCGATCAACACGGGGCGTCCCCTGCCCGCCCCGGCGAGTAACGGAACCACCGACGCCGGCTCTGGGTAAGATAGTAAA